CCCAGGCTGGAGTGCAGTGGCGTGACCTCGGCTCACTGCAGCCTCAACCTCCTGGGCTCAAGCGATCCTCCCACCTCAGCCTCCCAAAGTGCTGGGATTATAAGCATGAGCCACTGAGCCCAGTCCCATTTTCCTGTTAAACTTTTTATTAAATAAACTTTTGTAATAGACAAAAATTTTTTTTTTAATTAATGAATAATAATAAAAGTGAAAATGGATGGGCTGTAGGAGAGGATGAGGAACTAACGCATAGAAAACGGATGAAAGAAAGCCTGAATTCTGGGCCTTTACCTGCAACGGTCCCAGAAACGACAGTGGCCACCACAGGGGTGCTGGTGCGGGTGTGGATCTGGGCGAGTCCACGGAAAAGGAGCCCGTCCTCGGCCATCGAGTAGAGCACGCGAGGCATGGGGAACACGACACCCAGGAGGCTGCATGCAGGAGAAAACGGGAACACGCATGGGGACTCAGGAAGCAAGAGGGACTGGGGCTTCCGCTCCATCACCTCTGTGGGTGAAGCGTCTCCTCCCTTTACACAAGGCCCAGGACACCCGAGAACCAGACAGCAGACAGGGAGAGAGCGTCCAGCATTGACCTGGAGGACAGGGCACAGAGGGTGCCGATGGCCACAGCATATCTGATGGGGGCCCATCCAATGTGGACAAAAGCCTCCGGCAAGGGGTTCTCGGGACATATCAGGTAGTAGGGCACCATGAGGGTGAGCGCCGCTGAGACACCAAAATAGGCCAAGAAGTAGATGAAGATCGAGGTCACGATGCCCAGGGGGATGGAGCGGTGAGAGTGGAGGGCTTCTTCTCCTGCAGGACAGGTATATGCACTGGGCCAGGAAGACGCACAGAAGCGAGGGTGCGAAACCCTCTTCCCTGTTCCCCATCCGAGAGCAGGGTAGCCTTTAATGAAACCTGTGCCCAGCGGCAGCCCAAACTGTGCCCAACCCCCGATGAGACAGAACGACCGTGTTACCTGTGGTGGCGATGCCATTAAAACCCACAAACGCAAAGAAACACGTAGCTGCTCCATGGAGAATCCCGCCAAAGCCAAAAGGCACAAACCCGCCAGAGCCCAGTGAGCCCAAGCTGCGGGGAGAGAAGGAACAAGAAACATTGGTAAGGTGTGCAGCTGTCTTTCTGGGACGACTCAGTTAACTCCAACTGCTCAGTTAATTCTACAAGCCCTGGACCTCCACTGCCTTCCCCACGCCCCGTCATCCGGCTCCGTCAGCCCAGATTCCCCCTGTTCCCACAATAGTCCAGGTTCTGCACCCCAGCCCCCACTCCTGTGTCCAAGAGGGCACCTCTGGCCAGTTGCAATGGCTCACGCCTATAATCCCAGCACTTTGGGAGGCTGAGTTAGGTGGATCTTGAGCCCAGAGGCTGAGACCAGCCTGGGCAACATGGCAAAACCCCATCTCTACAAAAAATTAAAAACTTAGCTAGGTGCGGTGGTGCACACCTATAGTCCTAGCTACTCTAGATGATCGCTTGAGCCTGGGAGGCAGAGGCTGCAGTGAGCCATGATCATGCTAAAGCACTCCAGCCTGAGGGACAGAGCAAGACCCTGTTTCAAAAAATAAAAATAAATTTTAGGCTAGGAGCAGTGAGTGGTTCACACCTGTAATCCCAGCACTTTGAGAGGCTAAGGTGGGCAGATCACCTGAGGTCAGGAGTTTGAGACCAGCCTGGCCAACATGGCGAAACCCCATCTCTACTAAAAAAATAAAAAAATAAAAACCAAACAAATTGGCCAGGTGTGGTGGCAGGCACCTGTAATCCCAGATACTCAGGAGGCTGAAGCAGGAGAATCGCTTGAACCTGGGAGGTAGAGGTTGCAGTGAGCCAAGATTGTGCCACTGAACTTTAGCCTGGGCAACAGAGCGAGACTCTGTCTCAAAAAATAAAAATAAAAATAAATTTTAAAATAAAAAAACAGGCCAGGCACAGTGGCTCACACCTGAAATCCTAGCACTTTGGGAGGCAGAGGTGGGCAGATCACTTGAGGTCAGGAGTTCGAGACCAGCCTGGCCAACATGGTAAAACCCCATCTCTTATT